GCATTGGGAGAAGCAGAGGCGAAGCTAGTTCGCTAGCTTCGGGATCAGCAAATTTGTAAGTTTGTGTTGTGTTGTGTCATCGATCTGCTCTGTATCGCTCGTCTCGTGCAATAGGGTTAAATGGTTAATTGTTAGCCAGTTAATTGTTAGTTCTAAACTTCTAGCCACTCCGCCGCTCCACCGCACGACGCATGAGAGAGGAGGGGCGAGGGGGCCGCCCGGTTGCACGCATGTCGTGTCTGCATGCGCGTTGCACACAACTACTCCTAGGTCCTAGTATACAGTACACACCTGATTTAGTTGCCGATTACATCTCATGGAACCATATTTTACTACTCTTGTTTTGTGTTTAATCGATCTAAATTGATTGTTCGTACTTTTTTTTTGTTTTTCCTGTATGTTTTACTGGCAAATGTGTCCGTGCGTTACAACGGGGCGTGCAACTTGTTCTTTGTTCATAAGGACACAGCTTGAAAATTTATTAAATAACCATGATGGCCTTTATTCAAAATACAATACAATGAAAACCGAACTCTATCTCGCGCTTGGAGATCCGTTGGCCTCTGTGCTAACTCCGTAACTCGTATGGGCACCGTGCGTTCCAATTCGTTTTGAAAGTTATGGTCAGGCTATGCGGCCTTCCTATACACGCTGCTATATATTGTCGTGGATAATATAAGTCTAAAAAATTATATTGCAAGAAGAATTTTTTTATTATTTTAGCTCACAGAGAAATATATATATATATATATATATATATATATATATATATATATATATATATATATATATTTGTCCCCAGATGTTTATATAATTTTTAATAGGGAAAAGGAGACGTAGATGGACTTTCTCGTTTGTCCTCCAATGGGTAACTACCCAACCGGCAAACAGATATATATATATATATATATATATATATATATATATATATATATATATATATATATATATAACTCTCTACTCGAGTTTTGGGTTTTTTCTCTGGTTCATGCGACGCGGCAAGTGGCAGCTAGCAATGAGCATTGGAAGTTGGAACCGTTTACTGAACGTGGATGGCAAAAGAGAAGCAATTACTAACCGTTGATTTATTAAAAATACCTTTTATTGATGATGCAAAATATTTGTAACAATAGACAAAAGAACATCACTGTAAACTGATAAATGAAGAAAAAAGAACAAAAAAGATAGAACACTGGATTAGATGGACCAGAGTTTCATGGTGTGGCCCAATAAATGATGCTCAACTTGCCCAAAACATCACGTGAGGCATCAGAAGCAGGAGGCAACCACCGTTACTTTTTTTCCTTATGTTTTATCTTGTTTCCTTTTGAAATATTCTAATTTGGCTCTCATAAAAATAATCTAGCTATTTTTTTCTATGTTTAATATTTCGGTAATGCTCGTGTCAAGGCGTTCGGACACATCAGACGCTCAGCGGACCCACAAGCAAGACTCTCACAAGTGTTTTCAAGTGTTTCAGATTTATATTTTCAAGTATTTCATCTAGATGTTGCGTATGTTATAATGGCTATATACGCATGTTGCAACGTATGTTACATGTTACAAGCATATCTTTTAGGTGTTTCAAACGTATGTTTCAATTGTTTCATCTAGATGTTGCAGAAGTAGATCTGGATGTTGCATAACATATATGTTGCAAGCGTATGTTTTCAAGTGTTTTGGATGTTTCATACGTATGTTGCAAGTGTTTCATCTGGATGTTGTATATATTTGCAATGTCTTTTTAAGTGTTTTGGACGTATGTTTTACGTGTTTCAGCTGTTTCGGATGTATGTTGCAAGTGTTTTATCTGGATGTTGTAATAGTAGATCTAGTGTTGCATATGTTGCAATGGGACCCAACTGCCGCTGGGGCACCGACGTGTGTCACCGTGGCGCGCATCCACAGGCGAGCTCGTGGATTCCTACGTGCGCGAAATGTAGCAAGCGTGGGCAGGCCCTGCGTACATGCGGGAGCAAAGCGAGTAGCGTTAGTGGCGTGGGAAACGAAGCAGCGCGGGGCGGCCTGCACCTGTGCGATCGAATCCCGCGTATGCGCGGGCTGGGACGGGGAGCAGCGCCCTGACGCATCCTGCGACCGTCCGAACGCTAGCTGCTCCGTAATTGATTAGTAGAACTCATTAGAATTTTTTTTAATTAATCTATGTTTAGCATATTATCTAATGACGGAATCCGGTGATAAACAGGCCCTTAGATATTCCTTGACTTTGTCGATCATGTGGGGAAAGGGTCATCATATCCGACTTCTCATTGGTTTTCCGTGTCGCACGGTCGCGGGAAAAAGAAAAAACTATTGCTTGGGGTAAGCCATCGTACGCAGGCAGAACGGGCAGTCGCTGGTTCCGTAGAAACCAGCAAGGGGCAGTGTTCGACGTGGGACTGCCCATCACACGGATCAGCAGCGAGAAATTTTCTCTAGTTTTTTTTTTTTATTTTTTTGTGGAGAAGAAATATTCTCCAGTTCACATGCCGTAGATCATCACGGCAGTCGGCAACCGGGTCGTGCAGTAGGAGGATGCAGTTGTACCTGAACCTCCTGAAAGAAAAAGGTGGAATTCCTCGTGTGCCATTAAAAAAGATCGTAATGTCTTATGTGCTTCTGAAAAAGTTCAGCGGTCTTCAGCGCCACTGCTTTAATTTTTTTGTGCCCTCCATGCCACTGCCGTCAAACTGCAGGTGTGAAAAGTCAAAAATACCCTTAAGTGTAAATATGTCATTAATTTTTTTGAGCATCTTAACGACTTCAAATGAAAAAACTCAAAACTAGAAAGTTGTAGATCTCATCGAAATCTATAATTTTCATATAAAAATTATCTTCATTTAATTCCACAAAAAATATGATTTGATATAATTAATATATCTTAGAAAAATCATATATTTTTTTGCGGAATTAAATAAAAATAATTTTTATATGAAAATTATAGATCTCGACGAGATCTACAACTTTCTAGTTTTGAGTTTTTTCATTTGAAGTCGTTAAGATGCTCAAAAAAATTAATGACATTTACACTTAAGGGTATTTTCGACTTTTCACACCTACATTTTGACGGTGTTAGAGCCCAAACTGACAGCAGTGGCATGGAGGGCAAAAAAGTTAAAGCGGTGACGCTGAAGACCGCTGAACTTTTCCAAAAACACACATGGCATTACGATCTTTTTTAACGGCACGTAAATAACTCCCCCGAGAAAAAGACGTTTGCCTAGTCCACGCAAGATAACTTTCATTCTTTTGCGACCCTGTTGGGTCGACTAAAGCTGTTCATATACGATCATCAATTCACCGTACCATTCCGACTTCAATTTCAACTGCTGTTCCTTCAGGCAGTCAGCTGGCATACCTCGGCAAGTTGTCTAAGAGCTCGTCGCCATGCAAGTAGCATTGTAGCAGGGAAAAAGTAAGATAACCCTCTAATTATTTAGAGTGGGCTACTTTACCCTCAAACTATAAAACTAGATTTTCTATCCCTGAACTTTTCTAAAACCAATCAAATAACAACCCCCCTCCACCCCAAACGGTTTTTAGACGGTGGTTTTGCTACAGTGACTATAGTTTTGTCTTTTCTTTTTTTATTTATTTTCGTTGAATCTTTGAAAAATCATAGTAAATCACAGAAAATCATAAAATAGAAAATCCAATTTTGTTGGACTCCACATGAGTAGATGTACACAGTTAACATATAATATGGTATGGTTTAGTACAAAATTTTGTTGTACTTTTAGATTTATGCTTTTCTGTAATTAAATGGAATAATTTATAGCTGCGGTTTCTATAGTCTAATTGTGGTGAAATTTTTATTGTGGACTAATTATTGTATGCTTGAATTATAGTAAAAATTTCATACTCATTGGATTATGTATAACTTAGTTATAGATAAAGTATATATTTAACAAGCATAAACCTAAATAAATATATAACTAAGTTATACAGGATCCAATAAGTATGAAATTTTTACTATAGTTCAAGTATACAATAATTAGTCCACCATAAAAATTTCCCCACAATTGGACCATAAAAGCTACAGCTATAAATTATTCTAATTAATTATAGAAAAGCATAGATCTAAAGCTACAGCAAAAAATTTATACGAAAGCATACCATATTATATGTTCACTATGTAGATCTACTCATGTAGAGTCCAACAAAATTGAATTTTACATTTTATTGATTTTTCTGTGATTTACTATGATTTTTCAAAGATTCAGCGGAAATAAATAAAAAAGAAAAAGGCAAAACCATTGTCACTGTTGCAAAACCATCGTCCAAAACCGCTTGAGGTTATTTGATCAATTTTGAAAAATTCAGGAGTAAAAATATAGTTTTATAGTTTGCAGTGAAATAGTCCACCCTAAATAATTGAGAGGATTACGTATACCTTTTCCTTGTAGCATGAAGGCCAGGATGCTATGACCTTGCGAGATTTGTAGCGGCTGTGACTTGTGCCTACCTCGTTGAGACTATTTAGCTTCCGAAGACCATATCGATCCAAATGTAGCTAGAATAACCAGCACATGTGCATGGAATCTTCCGAGCCGACCATGGTCCAACATGCCAATTGCCAACAAGCTGAACATGGTCCAATATGCTCTACCTCTGGTCTCTACGCTGGTCTCTACGCTGGTTCTCCGACAACTACGGAGTATGGATGTCCACATCGCACAGAAGATATACATGCAACTTGCCTCTGTCAAACAGAGCGAACAACACCATTCACACTCACACAAGAGACAGCCAAAGGGTACCACCAGAGGCCTATGTACAAAAAAGAATCTATAGTCATTATTATCATGTTCTAACGAATATTTCACCACCATCAGGTAATAACTTTAACACAATGCACCCCCAACTTTCATCACAACCTATATAATAAGGGAAAAATAAATACAAATCAACCGGAACAGTCGAAATAAGACGAATCCTCTAGGTAGAAAAAACCAGGTTCACCGTTGACAGAATTGGCACCCCCTTTCCTACCGATAAACTCAGGAGTGAACCGACTTGAGCCTGGGAATGTAGTTGCCTGCCACGAACAGCGCCAGCACCGATAGCACAGCCGCTGCAATCAGGATGTACTGCCGCAGCTTCCTCCTGCCCCTGTTGCGTAGGGGCGCTGGCATGGGCTGCAACCTGTTCAGTTGCTTGATTGCCGCTGCTGGCCTAGACAGCCTCTTGGGAGCCGCTGCTGGTTGAGAAACCTCAACTTCCCTTGGGTTGTCTGATGCATTGCTGTCAGTATCCGCTGTAGCCAAAGCCGCAGCCTGGCTGTCGCCAATGGCGCTCGAATCTGCTGGTGCTGTGCCTTTCTTTTTGTCTTTCTTTGCTTTCTTCTGCAGATGTTTGAATAAGGTCGGAGTTAGAATTGGAAACTTGTTGCATGGATGGTCTATCGTACGATCAAGTAATGTAATAACTCAAATATCAAAACAGAGGACATGTAGAACATATCATACCTTCTCCCTCTCCTCAGCTTCCTTGCGTGCTTTGAACTCGGCTCTTTCCTTGTCCTTCTCTGCTTTCCGCCTCTTCCTCTCCTCAGCCTCCTTAGCCTTAGCCTTCTGCTCCATCCTAAGCTGCTCCTTTTCAGCTGCATCCCTCTCTTTTCTTAATTCCTCCTCCTTCCGTGCCAACTCCTCTGCCTTCCTAGCTAACTCCAATTGTTCCTCCAATAGACGAGCCTTTTCTTTTAAAGTTTGTTTCAAATCTTCTGCCTCTGACACTATAACAGAATTGTTCTCAATTTGGGCAGAGCTACCAGATGCTTTTGATTTGCCGCGCTTACTGGTCTGGGGGGCTGCCAAAACAGGAAAGGAGTCCTCTTTGACAGGGACTGCAGCTGGAGCAGCCAATACAGGTGCTGGTATTGAAGCTAAAGTGGGCACTTCCGGGCTTGAGGCAGACAATGGATAAATGCTGCTTGGTCTTCTGCTTGGAATGACTGGAGGATCCTCATCAGGGCCAAGTCTTCGTCCATCATGGGTCCCTAATCTCTTTAGTGTGCTAACCTTGTTTGATTCAACATACTGCTTGCGGAAGTCCTCGTTTGTGTTCCACATTTCCATAACTCTCTCAATCTAAAAGAGGAAAAAAATATTGGCACATCACAAAATGTTGAGACAAGACAGTGTTGTATTTTAGAACCAGTGCACAGGAGGGTTGAACTTTAATAACAATCAAATGAAAAAAAAATGTAGGAGTCTCCACAACGCTGGCAGTTATTAGAAGGGTAGGACTACAAATACAGTGCTTAGCTATGTATTGGAATACATATAAAGCGTAGAAGCACTTGCAAACATTAATGGTATGAACTTGTACCATTCCTTAATTAGCAAAAAGCATATGAATATCAAACCAGCTTAATCAACAGAAACCAAACCAGATAAAACGCTGATATAGTAATTGCAGCCATATTGAAGACAGCCTGTGCGATTTACATTTACCTGACTATTACAGTGTGTTTTAAGTCCATTTGTATCTCCATTAGCTCTGAAAGTTTCTGCTGCATTCCGAGCGTCCCTGTACTTGAAAAAGTATTCATTCTGCAATCCAAAACAAATGCGAAGGAACTTGTTCAGCTTTTAGAAAACTAATAAGCAAACTTTAAACACTACAGATCACATGCTTTCCTACAAGAAACTTGACTGTGTGTAAATGATGACACTACTTTTTTGCTGGCAAGTGAAAACACCCCTACGGAGCAGCATATCACATAGAAAATGCCCGTCATTGGTAATCAGTAATTAAATTCTGATAACATGAGCACAGGCACACAACAGGTGGCATTGATGAGGACCACATCACTGATAGTGGATGACTTGATGAAACTTTAAGTGTAATATTATTCCTAATCCATCAGTTAAGCCTTTCATTCCATGTAACCAGGAATCTTCTCGAACTAATCATGTATCCAATACACCATTTTATCCAGTACTTTGTATTTCAGAATATTTAACCATGTGATACTGTTCAAATTTGTGAATGGTGTAAAATGAAACAGACTGAATATTCAATAAACCACTCCCTGAACCAAATGGACAAGAACCGCAACAAGTAAAGATCCGTACCTTCTTGCTGGGCTCATTTCTAAGCTCAGTCCACTCACAGTAGGCATTTTGACGTATTTCATTAGCTGCTCGGTGTTCCTCTGTTAATTTTCTGAGAGCTGTTCTTTCATCTTCGAAAGATTTTTGAATCTTTCTTGTGTTTTCCTCTAGGGATTTCAGGTTGGTGAATAAAACATCAGAATCCTTCTTTAACACCTAGACATGATAAAGAAAACTAGTCAATATATAAAGGATGGAATGGCATTAAGAGTAAAATTAGAAATTTCTGCTTTCAATACCTTATGCTGCTCATGAATGTGATCTTTTTGGTCAAATGCCTCATTGATTTCAGCCTTTGAGCCCATAGTGGCGGACAGCTGCTTCCGTTGGGCTTTTAATTCATTAATCTCTTTAATTAAAAGCTTTTCTTCTTTCAAAGAAATTGTCTCATGTTGCATAGTCCTCTCTTTCTTCGCAACCTAAGACATCAAGGAAAAGAAGAAATGAGCTAAGATTTAAAGAACAGTGCAATTAAAGTGAAGGGAGCAAAGTAGGTACAACATTGCAGAATACATACCAGCTCATCAAGTTCTTCAACTGAATTTGCTTGGTGCAATTTCCCTAATACCGAACGTACACTATTTAAATCATTCTTCTTATCTCCATGGGCAGTCCTAGCTTCCCGCTCTTCTCGACGTGCTGCCTCAAGCTTCTCCCTGTATTGATCACATACAGCCTGCAATATTTTTTTCAAAAAAATAAGAAGCATGGCATGAAGAAAAAAGAAAGAAGATGGACATTTGGAGGTTTGTTTGAAAAAAAAAATACATTTGGAAGGTTATTATTACCTTTTGCTTTTGCCTGCGACGGTTAATCGCATCTCTTTCCTGGGTCAGCTGGTCTAAGTGAGCCTGCGCAACCTGAATCTTATTCCAGAGATCATCACCAGCAAACTTGGAACTTTAATTATGTAAATCTTCTGTGGTCCGATGACTTGCGCATGATCTCCATGCCACTCACTAGAAGCATGGTGTCCATTGTCCTTCTGTTCTGTCACTAGTGCTGCTCAAGCATTATGAAAGTGACCCCATTTAACTCCCATGTGAGTTATAATTAGCATTTAAGGAGAATAATACATTTAAATTTAAGAAAAATAAAATGGACACCCAGAAAATAATGGCTGCATACCTTCCACACATTTGGTTTCAACCACATCAGGCTCATTTCCATTTTCATAATTGATAGTGTTGCATGACTTGTCTGAGAGGCAAGGCTCCTCAGTTAGATGAGGAGGCTCATTATGGGAACCATTATTTGCAATTCTGGATGAACACTCATCAGACATATTAATTGGAGAGGGACCTTCATTTGCAATTCTGGAGGAACACTCATCAGACATACCGGATGCATTGCAAATTTCTGACTGATTTTCCAGTGATTTGCTATCTTCAACAATCTCACTAACAGATTCACAGCTTGGATCAAAACTGGGTTGATCATCATCAACCACAACAAGTTCATCTCCATTCAGTTTGACAGGTTCAACTTGATCAACAACAACGTTGCTAGATTTTTCTTTAGATACATTTCCTGTTGCAGAGTTTATTTCAACTTCGTCAACCACCATTGTTCCATGTTCCAAAGAAGCGCTGCATATAGGTTGCTCAACAGTGGTCATAGAAATTTCTTGGGATCTGCTCTCTTCAGTTTGCACATGGTCACAGGATTCCAACACAGTAGTTGGGCTGGAATGGTTACCGCTATCATTCTCAACCAAATCAATGGACCTTGGCTCATGGTGGAAAACAGAGGCCACAGAAGCTGCAGCTTCTTGAAATGGAACGGCATCATCAAAATTCACCTCAAACTCTCTCTTCAGTTCTACTTCTGAAGAATTCTCAATTTCATGAGGTTGACAGACACCTGGTGCTTCTACCTTCTCATGCTCTATAGTTTCCATAACAGATTCACAGTCCTGCTGAAGGTGTAAAGGAGCTACATTAGCCTCATCAGCAAAAGCAAGTTCTTTTACCTCTATTTCATCAACTTCATGAGCTGTTCTTACTTCAACCATATTTTCAGCTTTCAAATCCGACTCTGCTGTGATTTCATCAACTAAATCAACTTCTGCCTTGACTTCATGTTCAAGGCTTGATTCAACATAAGGATCTGATCCTGGCTTAATATGAATTGTGCCTATATAAACTCCATCCTTGGCCAATCCACCCTGCATGGTATCTTGGATTGTATTCTCAGTTACTTCCTCTGACTCACCAACATTAACACTGGGGACAGCTTCATCTATTTTTTCCTTACCAACCGTGGAGTCATCACACAAACCCACCTCACCGTCCTTATCCATATCCACTTCTTCAAATTCGAGAATACCACATGTGGCTTCACCTTCTACCTGCATGGGATTGGCTTCTTGCTCCCCAGAAGCATCAGTTGTACCTTCTACACTGGCATGCTCATCTGCGTCAACTTCCTCTCCTATGAGTTCCTCAACACTACCTGCACAGTTCCCTTCAGTTGGTTTTAACACTCCCTCCAACACTTCAGCTTCAGTTTTTGGAGCTTCCTCTTCTTGCTGATCAGTTTCTTGCCCATCTGTCTCAAAGGAATCAGCCTTGGACTCAGAAGCAACTATACCAGAATCAGCACTCAAGGCAACATAAATATGCCCATTGGTTTGTGATGATGCATCTGTGGCATTGGCAGCATCCTCCTCCACTGATTCTGCAACTTCAGTCAGTTTGCTCTCATTAGCATGGTTCTCAGGCTCAGTAGTAGCTTCAGAAGAATCAGCTTGGGTGTCGGCACAAAGATGCCCATTTGTTATCAGCACTTCTGCCCTACCAACACCCTGCCCCTCAACCTCCACGACACCGGCGTTGCTCTGTTCTTGTTTGCTATCCTCTCCATAAACCTCAGACTCAATGTCAGCAGAACCAGACTCGGTACAAATTAGGGCATCATCGTGCCTGCAGGACTCCACAGCAGTATCCTCTTGACTGTCAGGCTCAGTAGCAGCTACAAATGAATCAGCCTTCATGTCGGCACAAAGATGCTCATTCTCCACCAAAGCACTTGCCCCAACTGTACCCTGCTCCTGTGGCTCCACAACATCAGTGGTACTCTGTTCTTTGCTATCCTCCCTAACAACTTCGGACTCCATGGCAGCAGAAGAAGACTTGGGAGACGATAGGGCATCATCATTGGCAGAGGACATCACATCAGCATCTCCATCCTGCTCCGTGCTAGCTTCCTGATACACCACCGCTTCAGCGACATCAGCAACAGCACTTCCATCCACTGTGCCCTCCTTGCCTTCAACCTCAGAATCCACAGCGGGTGCCTCAGAATCAGCACTGGCGATGGCAGGTTCGCACCCACCGGACGACAGAGCAGCTACCCCACCGTCCTCTTCACCAACAGCCTCCTGCTGCGCCACTTCAGCAACACAATCGGAACTCGGCTTACCCTCAGACCCCTCGGAAGCACGATCACCCCCTTCCGCCGACGAAGCACCGAGTGCGGCACCCTGAGCACCCGCTTCCCCTTCTTCGGCGGCCCCGTGATCTCCGCCCACGGCCGCGTCCGGAGCTGCATTGGAGCCGGGCACGTCGTCCTCCTCGGACGGCGAGTCCTCGTCGGGCGCCTTGCCCAGATCTGAGCCGCGGTCGGAGTGCCCGTCGGAGTCGCCGCCGTTGACGATCACGAACGGCCCGCCGACGTCCTCCTCGCCCTCGCGCTCCCCGACCGCCTTCTCCTCCGGCGAGGCGGCCACCACCACCTTCTCCGGCGCGAATTCCGCCTTCGGCGCCTCGCCGGCGCCGTTGCACGCCGTCCCCTCCGCCGTCATTGCCGCTCCCCCGCGGATCGCGCCCCGATCCTGCACACCACAGCAGCAAAAACACGTCCTTTATCAGACGCCAGAGCCATACACCCCACAACACAGATCGCAGATCAGAGATCACCCCGGATTAACCACTTCCAAGGCTCCCACGACACAAAACCCAAAGCTCGCAGAGAGAGATCGAGAGATACACAAAACCCAAAGCTCGCAGAGAGAGAGAGAGAGAGGTGAGGAGCACTTACAGCCGACGACGGCGAGGCGGATCCGGGAGGCTCCTCCTACCCTCGGCCACCTCCGCGCCGAGGCGAAGAAGCGATCTGGGCGCGGCGGCGGACCCCGATCGGCGAGGGAGGTGGGGGCGAGGCGAGAGATGGATCTGTCTCGTTGTTGTTGTGTGCGCTTTCGGGACGAGAGAGGCCTTTGAGGACGCGATTTAGGCTTAACACACAGTTGGGATCTGGATTTATACGGAGGACTACGATAAGCTTGCCGTCGAATTCCGCATCACAAGACGCGGGCGGCTAGCGGCTGGCTACTCCTACTGTCACTGCTAGGCTCTGCTCTGACATCGTCGCGTCTGCGTCCGGATCGTAGCGACCAGGGACATGGTGCATAGCGATGATTATTTCGTTTGTATTTATGAATTATTATCTAAATATTAATTAATTAGGTTTAAAAGATTTATTTACCAAAGTTAAAGTAAACTGTATAAATAGTTTTTGATTTCACCTATATTTAATATTTATATACGTATTGTAAATTTGATGTGTTGTATAGTGTACTTTTCAGGGTTTGGAGGAATAAAAAAGGGCGGAGACGGAGCTTGGGTCCGGGCCGGGCCCGCGGCCGGGCACGAGCCGCACCACCGACAGGCTCGAGACGGCCGGCCGGCGTCTCCTGCTGCGTCAGGGCCCGTGTGACGTGGTCGTCGTCGTCGTGAGATTTTTGGAGACGCATACGCAGGCCTTGGGAAGTTGGGACAATACAAAAATCCTTTGGTGCGTGACCGTGCTCAGGTCAAGCGGTTCTAGAAGCTCATGGCCTTTTGCGCTTTTCTTTTTACTTTTTCGCCCCCATGACGATGAGAATGATGATACGGTTAGTTTGTCGACACATCGTGATGAGAGAAAGATGACAACACTCGTCATTCTTGGCCTGCTATTTTAAGGGTGGTGAGTAGTCTTATTTGAAGAAAATTAGCTGGCCTATGGCTGCTTTTGCACACGCTTTTCTTCTGTTGGAATGCATTTATCTTCAATTAGCATACATACATACATACATACATACATACATACATACATACATATATATACATATATATATATATATATCTTATTATTAAGGTTTTCATGGTATTATCTTTTTTTATCTTTGTTGTGTGCAAGATATAGGTTTTTAGAGCGTCGCTTCAACTCGCCGCCTCGTAGCCGTCTGATTACAAACCGAGGTACATAGTTTTATGAAAATAAAATATTAATTAAACCATGCAGTCTAGGGTTGACTGTTGTCTTCAAATTTGTCGTTATCTAATCCGACAAATACAATTATGACTGTATTAACTCGTGCCATGCATGCAGGATAACGCAAGATAAATTCAAAGTATCAAATACAAAGGCACGTAGATATTGCCTGTATATTGCTTATATATCTTTCATAGTGCAACATATTGTTGGTAGATTTTAGGCACGCTATGGGTTTTTTTTTTGAAACATTAGTCACGCTATGATTACTCATTACTCATGAATCAAAGAGGGGCACCCAAAACCTCAACCTAAGTGTATTGTGTAATGATTTTGTAGCTATTTGAAGTGTAGCTAGATACATGAGCACTACTAGTGTTTTTAAGGCTCACCACATCTTTCACTTAAAACACCACTAGCTTTAAGCATGTAATCTTAGCTATTTAACAGAAGATATATATCATAAAATATGTTACTAAATTCATTTAAATAAAACTTTATAAAGAAGTGGTAACCAAGTTACATCATGCATAACGTAGAATCCTCTCCGTAAATAGATATTTGAGGTTCGTGTTTCTACTCTCTAGTGAGGCAACTGTGTTGAAAAATAACTTAGTCATTATATGAGGGCAAGTCTTATGCTTTGAGTTTGAGGGTTAACCCAAGTTTCAATTTGCAAAGAGAAAGTTTACAATCATACCGGTTATGGCTAGGTATTTATTTTTTCTATGTCTATCTATCTATCTATATCTTTATACCTAATATTAAAGAGCCAAAATTAATTCTATTTTTGGTCCACCACCTCCCAATTGCTGAATAATGGAGAATTTCCGCCCTATTTTTTTACTTCCTAAACACTGTCCTTACACCCTCCATGTCTCTTGTATCACCCAAATCCATGACCCGCGCTCACACAAATTAGAACAACTCGCATCAAGCTATGATCGATATGAAGTATCAATCCAATACGTATTGGATCGCGCCCTCGGTATCTCATATATGACACAGAATCATGATGAGTTGTGCTCGTACTAGTTATAACAACTAGCGCCAATACAGAGTCTGATTAATATGTATTGAGTTTTGTTGTAACAGACGAGCACATTTGCTAGTCTAATCTACTCTTTTTCTATTCTAAATTATAAGACGTTTTGGCCTTTTCAAATACATAATTTTTGCTATGTATTTAGATATATAATATGTTTAGATACATAATAAAAGCAATGTATCTAGAAAAAAACAAAACGTCTAATACTTTGAGACGGAGAGAGTAAAATTTTAAACCAGGGCAAACATAAGGTGATCCTAATTATTCGCATGGATTGAACATATCAGAGGTAAGCAGATAATGATATTTGTGACTTCATAATAAAATCTTGAAACGTGTCATTAAAATCTAGCAGTGTTTGGAGAGAGAAAAAAAAAGACCCTGCCCCCCATAGAAAAAAAAAATGCACAACATACCAACGCCTACTTGAATTGGATGCGTCCTTCCATCGCAATTTGTGCGCCTATGAAAGGGACACTTTGTTACGTATGAACGCTCGTGGCGCGGGTGTTTGGCAGATGACAACGACTCGATCCACGGTATCTACAAAGACCGACAGTTCACACGCACGTTGAGATCTTGTATCACCGTACCGTAACAACTCAACCTTTTAGCTGAGTTTTCACCGTACCTAACAGTTGGTGCGACGCTGGTGGTGAAGTATTCCACAGATGAGAAAATACTGTATGTAGTTTCAACTTTCATTTTTTTTCAACCAAAATATGAACAAATGAAAATAAATATAATAAATTACCTTTAATCTTTATCTTGAAATCTACATCCATGCATTTTTATGAAGCGACAAACCACGGCATTATTCGTGACTTTCATCTCCCTTCTTTCTCCACATAGCAAATAAGACAATTATTCATAAATTCTCTCTCTCCCTCTCTCTAAGATTATTAGGATGATAATCATCGGCTTGTTTCCTTAATTTTGGACCATAATTAATCTCCTCCTCTCAATTGATATCAAACAAGAATTCTAAGGATTATTGGCATTATCAGGCTCTGGTGCTTTCCTTTTAAAATACCATAACATCAAGTAACCTGCAATTAGCACGTAATAAAGGAAGGTAAACATGTAGTGCAACCCAAATAGCCTAAACCTAAAACAGTTGTAAAAGTAAAACAATAACCTATTGTGGTTTTATTTGAAAATTGAAAATCAGATTAATTCAGAAAGAAAATAAAGAAGCACGGAGCACATCTAATTTTTACCTTAAATCCTTGATTCTTGTTGGTTGTTGGGTAATCACTGAATTGCCTGCAGATTTGAATGGGCAGCCCAGCCGGCTGCCCGTGCGGCTGTGACCACGCATCCTGCAGCTTAGCTGTCCTCGCTCCTCTAGCCTCCGGCCTCCAGGTTCCAGGTATATATGGCCATGCAGCCCGAGCCCGTCGGCCGGCCTGAGGCCTGTTTTTTTGGCCCGGCCCAAGCACGGCCCGGCCCGGTGTCGAGCGGGCCCGGGGCCGTGCTTGGGCCTTACCCCAGGCGTGTGGGCCGACACGGCACGGCCCGCTCCGGAGCCGGAGGCCCGTTGGCGGCCCGGCCTGCCAACCCCGCGCGGCCGCGCCCCCCGGCCCCAGCTCACCTCCCCGGCTCCCCCCTCCCCTAACCCTATCTCCTCTTGTTGCACGCGTCCGGATCCTCCTCGATGGCGTCCACCGCCACCTCCCGCCGGCTGCCCCTGTCGTCCATCTCTCCCTCCCCTGCGGATCTCTCTCTCTCTCCCCTCTCTCTCTCCCTCCCTCCCTCCTCTCGGATCCGGTGGCCTCCCTCTCTCCCTCATCCTCGGTGTGCCATGCGGGCGCCCTCCCCCCCCCCCATCCTCCATCTCTCCCTCCCCTGTGCGGATCCCTCTCCCTCTCCCTCCCTCCCTCAGCTCAAATCCGGTGGCCTCCCTCTCTCCCTCATCCTCGGTGCACAGCGGGCTCCCTCCCACCCTCTCCCTCGGGCGACGGTGGGCTCCCCTTGCCGTGCCTCCTCCTCTTTCCAGATCCCACAGGCAGCACGACGACCTCCCTCCCTCCCTCACTCTCCCTTGGTGGCGCATGGCTAGGAGCGCGCGGGCGGGCAGATCCGGCGACTCCCTCCCTTCCTTGTTTTCTCTCCTCTCCATCTCGCTCACCCCCTCTTCATCTCCTCTCCATCGCTTGAGGGAGGACGCCGCTTGCGCAGCTCCTGCCCCTGAGATCCAGAGCTCCGTCGCTCCCAGCCCCGGCGGCCACCTCCTCCTCGCCTCCCCACGTGGCCGCGGCGCACGCGCCGGCCTCGAGCACGCCGGCAGCCGCCCTTCTCCCCCAAGGCCCCCGCGTGGTGGATGGCCTCGAGCCCCGCCGCTCCTCCATGACCCCTGCGTCCCGGCGACCCTGCCTGCTCCTGGCGACCCGGCCTACCCTCTCCTCCCTCCTCTCTCTCTTTGTGTGTGTTGGCACTCAGTGGGCCTCGGGCTGGCACGGCCTATGAAAATGATCGTGCTTCTCGGACCGGCCCGG